TGAATGAGGCCAGTAGACATGCTCAGGGATTCTGACGTGGAAGGCTGCCCCCTGCCCTCTGAGCTCTGCAGTGCTGGACTCATTCCCTCTCCATTTATCTTCTGCTAAAGATGGCCATTAGCAGGGAGACAGGAGAGACTGCAAGTCTGTCCCGAGTCCTGGCCTCTGCTCCTGGTCACCATGTACACGGCTATCTGCTTAGCCTCTCTGAAGAATGGGCTTAATACCCAGGACCCCGCTGCCTAGTTGTCATAAACACCAGGCTGAGGGCTTGCAAATGTTCCACAAGAGGGTATACCATAAAGGACCATGTTACTATGTAGGGGAAGGGTGAAACGCACACATTTTAAGGTTGCCTAGAGACCTCAATAGATGAGGAAAACTTGCAGCTGTGTATGTAGTTACATCCACCAGGAGTGAGGGGTTTCTGCAGATGTCCCCTAGCTAGCAGGGAGCCATGGGAGCATGCCTCTGCACACCACCTGGGTCGGGTGTCCTGTGAACGGGTGGCAGCATCCGCACGCTTCTTTACACTATCGACTAATCAGTATTTCTCAGAGGAGTAAAGCAGCCGTCCAAGTCATTCATTTACAACCACACTGAAAGGTAAGAGGGAGAATCGTGGCTCACAGCCCAGACCTCAAGACTCAAATGCAGTGTGATGTCCCTGATCAATGGGCTTGGTTGTTTGAATCAGATGCCTGCCCAGCGGGAGAATTAAAGAAAGACTTCATTAGTCAAAACGATGAAACCCGAGCTCAGCTGTCAGTCAGAGAAGCTGAGAAGCACACGGACGTGGAAAGACATCATGCACGTACATCACGCACAGAAACCAAAACAAGAAAGCCACAAGGGAGGGCAGAGCCTGCAAGGCTGCCGAGTACCATCCCAAAGCCACACACAGTCAAGAGGCTGTTCTAGAACCTTCTGGTCGGGCTTAGAAAGAATGAGTATTCTACTCCCATCCCAGTGAAGGTAGCTGGTTAAACCCTACAGGATGCTGAAAACGGCCCGTTGGGCCCAACTGGCAGTGATTCCTTTGTGATGTCACCCCGGGTTGGATGACGCAGCCATGGGGCAGGTGTTCATCCTGAGTAAATGACCCAGCTCCTCCCCAATCTTCACACTCACTAGTGACTGGGGGAGAGGGAATGACCCACACATGTTCGGGCACCTGACTACACCACCCACCCTCCGTCCACCTCCGTCCACCAGTCTGGGGTTGAATGAGGCTCTGCCTGACTTTGAGGTGGTCCTGGCAAAAGGCTGGAAGGAACTGAACAGAGATCTGAGCTTCCTTCGGGAAGTGACCAGGGGCCTGGCCCAGGGTCCTCTGGCTTCTTTATGTGTCTTTAGGAGGGTGTGTCACAGGCTGCACAGCCGCCACGGTCTTGGCTCTGCTGTAGTCCGGTGATAGGTGGCGACAGGGCGGTTACAGCCTAACAAGTGTGGCAGAGGCCATGCAGGCCCTCTCTTCTCAAATGCCTTGGTGGCTCCCCAGTGGTTTTTCTTGGCCAGTGCGGGGGCCACACACGCCCAAGCTGACTGGGAACTTACCTTGGAGCGAGGTTGGCTGACTTGGCTCCCACCGGCAGTTCCAGCCCTTCCCCGGGCTTGACCAGTTTCCCCCTGTTCATCTGCTGCAGAATGGAGTTCAGCTCGCTAATGACATTTGCCTTGGGGCCTGAGAGAATTGGGCTTTTGACCTCTGGGACGTCACCCCACAACTTGGAGGTCCTTGGCTGGATGACCTTTGCCACGCTGGCCTGGGCACTGCCCGGCGGGGGTGGGGGTGCAGGTGGGGGGATCACAAAGCCATCTGTGTCCTCTTCTGGGAGCGTGTCTTGGTAAAGTGCGTTGCTCTTGTGGACGATGGGCTTCATTTTTGGCTTTGGAGGTACTGGGGGCTTGTCAACCACAAAGGCTTGCCCGTCTGCATAGACTGTACAGGTATCCATGCTCTCTCCGCCCTCGGAGGACAGCGTGGAGATGCTGGACACTGTGGAGATGGTGCTGGTTGTCTCGAGATGGTGGTCGCTGCTACTCCGGCTGTCCACCTCCTCGATCCCGGAGTCGGTGACGGCGTCAAAGCTTTCGGGGGGCGGCAGGAATGAGGAGGGCAGACAGTTGGAGATGCCAGTCGGCTTCTTACCGTCTGCAGAGTTGGCTGGCTGGCTGGAGTTCAACGAAGGGGGCTGAGGGGCATCGGTTTTCTTCTGTTTGACCAAGTCAGCCAGAGCGGGAACCGAAGCTGCACGGTCGTCGGGGATATCAAAACTATTGGCGAATTCCAGGGGGGGAGGCAATGGTTCTGTGAAAAGGAAGTCCTCATCCAAGTCCACGGACGCCAGAGGGGGAGGGGGGATGCGGAATGGCAGAATCACCGCCTCTTCCACGGAGCCCGCTGCCACAATGGTCCTGCCGGGCGCGGCGGCGGGCTCCGGGGCAGCGGAGATCTGTAAAGCACCTTCGGTTTTGGGAACGCCTTCTGGCACTGTGGAGGGTGAGTGGTCTGGCTTTATATCCACATCCTCTCTGTCCTCCTCTTCCTCCAGGGGTGGCCCTGCCGTGGGGACGTCCACCGTGTGCACCATCAGCAGGCCGGCTGACTTCTGCTGGGCTGTGTCCACGATGTTGATCAGCATGTTCTTCTTGTCATCACCCCTCCGGTCCTTGCTCAGGTCCGTCTCGTACTTGTTCTCTGTCTCTTGCCGTCGCAGGGGACCCCGGGTGTTCTGCCTGGTGACGGGAGGGAAGCTGGACTCCACGCTGGACCGCATTTTGGTATCGATGTAGAGAGGCTTGTTGAGGTCAGCCTTGGGGGCCTCCCCCTTGTGCCCCTGCTGGGACTCCTGCATGGCTCGATCCCTGGCGGACAGTGCCAGGGCCAGCGGGGAGCTGGGGTCGAGCAGCCGCCCCGTGAGGGGGTGCACGTAATTCTCAGGGCTGGCTGGGCTGCCACTCTTGAGAGGAGCTGCTGGGCCACTCTCAGGCCCCTTGGCTTTGGATGTGGAACTCAGGGGTCCCCCGGTCTCTCCCTGAGTACCAGCCTCGCCACCACCTAGGAAGTGGTTCTCCAGCTCCCTGGGTGCTGTCCCAGGGGTAGGCGACAGCGGTTGTTCCGTTCCATCCTCGTCACCAAACTCACCCTCCTCGGGGAACTTGGAGGGCCGTATCCGGGGAGCAGGTGGCCCCAGACCCACATCCTCATCTCCCAGGTCTGTGGAGAGGAAGGCCGGGGAATTCCTCCTGGCTTCCAGACGCTTCTCCCGGTCACGCACAGCCCCAGCGATGGCTGCAGCAAAGGGGCTGCTGACAGTGAGGCTGTCGTCGGGCCGAAGCTGGCCCGGCTCGGTGGCCTGGGGGTCGATCTCCATGCTGCTGCCCTGGCTGCTCTTGCCGCTGCTGCTGGTGGAGGGTTCCTTGACGATGATGGTTGGGATGGGGATGGAGCATGTCTTCTCAGGGCTGTCCTCCACGTTGGACTGCTTCACCAGCATGCCCTTCCGCCTGGCTGGCTTGGCAGGGACATAGACGGCCTTGCTGGCTATCTTTCCCACCTCTGAGTATGGGTTCTCAGGCATCTGCCCCCGCTTGGTGCGGAAGGCGGCCTGTGGGGCGGGGCTGCGGCTGTAGACGTCTTCGGAGTCCAGGGAGAATCGGTCCAGCTCTCTCCTGTAGAAGATCCCCTTTTCCCGCATCATGGTGGCCACAGTGTCAGACCTGGTGGCTGGGGGCACCTTGGCGACGGGGTTCTGATTGAACGCAGGCTTAATTGTCCCATAGACTCTCGGAGTCGGGGACTTAGGGCAGTTGTACGTGGTGGGGGAAGGTGGAGGGGGAGATGGGGGCACAGACTGCGGCGGAGGGGGTATGTCCTCGGAAGTGTCCGGCATGGACAAGCTTCGGGTGAACTTCAGCATCGGGGGAGCCAGAAACTGCCGCTCTTCCTCTGTTATCCCTGCAAGCAGAGAACATGGTTTTAAGCCCAGCGACCTCAGAGCCCACTGGAGGCCTCCGGACGGTGTAACATACTGCGACTCCACACACTCACAGACTTAGACAGGAGACAGTTGTTAGAAAGCACAGCACAGCTAGGACGCCGGGGTTAGTCACACGCCCTCTAGGAGCCAGAAACAGGAAGAAAGGTGTTCTGTGGGGTGAACACATGTAGGGATTCGCTTCTCTGGGGGCACACTGTGGCGTCTGAGGTGAGGTAAGGGTGGCAAGGGTCGAAAACAAGGCTGTGTGCAGCCCTCAGGCCAAGCCCTGGCCACCCAAACCCAGAGACGTGGCTGTGTGTGTGTGTGTGTGTGTGTGTGTGTGTGTGTGTGTGTGTGTGTGTGTACATGCAGGAGCTGGTGCAGGAGGCATCTGTCTGCCTCCTTCAGGCCTGGTGACGGCTCGTAAGGGACAGAGGCTCTCACCTGACTCTCTGAGAGGCCATGCGAGCGGCATAAAGGTCAAGGCTGCTGTCCTGTCTGCCCAGGTGTCGGGCAGACCTGCCACCCTCCTAGAACAGCTGTCTGCCCAGCGGTGGCCCATGCGTGCTAAGAGGAGGGCTACTGTTCTTGTGTGGTCTTCTCCAAGGGGACATTGGCCAGTTTTGTCACCGGCTTCCTCTGGGCCACACGGAGGGCTCTGTGTATGTTGAACTCCTCCGCCCTCAGCAGGTGGTTGGCTCAAAAGAAAGGCCATTCTGGCGTGGGCTGTGCCTATGAGGGGAGGGAGCCTTGATTTCCCACCTAGTCTTGGTCCACAGCAGCTGCAGGATGCTAATCAGCGGCTCCATGCCAGCTGCCCAACTCCACAGACGCTCGGAAGTGGGCCTGTAGGACCCTCTGGGGAGTTGTGGTGGGATGTTACGGCTAATCAGGCCTGGCTGACTTGGCACAAAAGCAGAACCATGTTCTGAGACCTGACTGTCAAGTATGCGAGTGTGACCATGAATGGGGCTGTGGCTCAAGCCAACCTGAGCTTTCTCTGGGTGTATTAGCTGGTGTGAGAGCAGGCTCCAGTGCAGCCTAAAACACAGAGACAGAAGCAGCACACGCAGCGGCAGACACCAAGGATGGATTCTCACACGGGGGCATGCAGGTTTTCAGAGGCAACAAAATGAATTACTTGAAAAATAAATTAAAAAAAAAAATTCTCAGGACAAACTACAGTCACTTATTCCATGAGAACTTCCATTTGATAAGGGTATTCCAAATTGAACATACTCCTGTGGGAGGCTAATTTGGCGTCTCAGAGGTCTGTTGCTGAAGGAGATCTCTGTGGACCACTCACTGTGAGTCGTCACCTAATGGCGACATTCCCAAGGAGTAATAATTTAAGAATACCCCTTATAAAAGTAAACCAGGATACATTCAAGTTACAGATTCCAAACTGGGGAGTTCACTGACCTGATAGAAAGATTCTGCTGTCTGACAGGAGGAAATCAACTGTTATTAACCAGAAAGATCCAGAAATACAACAAGGTGCGTGTGCAGCTATGCCGGCCTTAGGTGTGCCAGGGGTGGGTGAGCCACCCAAGCTGCAGACGCCACCACGGTCATTACCACCTAGATGCCGCCTCCTGCCTCCTCCTCCTCCGACTAAAAACAGACATTGCCATGCCTCTGGCAACAGGAGGAGTTTCTGAAACACACAGAGCTTATGTTTCTGGCGGTGCCTTGGCGAGGCTGGAGGCTGCATACCCCCTTTCTTTATGTGGCCAGGCTCCACTGTGTCCAGCAGTAGCCTTGGCTTCCAGAAAGTTCACGTGGTAAGGACCACACTGGGGCTTTTCCCTGCCTCGAGGAGTCAGGTTTACCTTGCCCTGTCCGAGCCAGGGAGGGAAATGGGATGCTAGCAAGGAAGACAAGCTGCTTTCTTACACACAGCGAGCGGTTCAGACCTGACCCAGCCACCCGGAGAAGTATGTCCCTTGAGCTCAGTCTACGAAACATTGACTGGAGGGGTCTGCCCGCCTGGCCCGCCCTCCATCCTGCCGCCCCAATTGCTACTGTCACTGGATTAGAGAAACTACCCTAAAGGAAGGTTTTTATACCCCACCATGATCAAGGGGCTGCCTGCCTGGTAGGAGAGAGGCTGGGCACCTGGTAGGCAGGCCCAGTGGGGAGTGGTTAGGGTCTGGGTGCCTAGGCAACCACGGGGCCAGGACTCAGAAGCCCAGGCCTCCTGAGGAGCTGAGGGCTGCATTTGAAAGCTTAGGGGCCACGTCTTCGGGTGGGGGTCACGCTTCTTACCTATCGATTTCTGCCTTCGCATCGTACCTCGAGGGAGGCCCAGAAATGGACCTTTCGGGCTCCCAGGGACCGTGGGCGTCATTACAGCAATCCCTTGGCGCTCGTACACGGACTGCAAACCAGAGAGCCAGGTGAGGTGCATCCCTGGGAGCCCCACCCATGGTGACAGGGCCAGAAGACAGCTCTGGGAGCAGTAGGCATCAGTCACCATGGCTTCCTCAGACCATGCCCTCCCCACACTTCATTTAGCTCCTGCAGATGTGATGCCAGCATGTCCAGCTCTAGGCACCATACTCTGCTGGGACAACATTCACCAGGCCAGAAGAACTCTGGGAGAATGGGGCCAGAATGACTTGGCCCATGGGGAAAAAAAGCACAGTGTGGTAGGCAGTGGGGTCTGATCCAGGCCATGCCCTGGGTCCTCAGGTCCTTGTGACTTTGGTCAAGTCCTCAGCTCGGATTCTGTTTCCCTCTTCCAGCTACTATGGGTGTGGCCGGGTGCCAGGACCTGTGTGAATGAGTAGGATGCCTGACCTGTCACCTGGGGAGAACTGCCAAGTGACCCTGGAGTGTGTCACAGAGACTGCCGTGGGCCCTGTCCCTCCCGTGGCCTGAAGGTGGACTCTCAGAGCGCTCCTCTCTGCCCCGCCACAGCTGGCACACCGATGCATGCTGTTTTGCCTGCCAGCCTGAGATGGTTGGCCTAGTTATGCTCCCCAGCCTCAGGAGGGACTTGAAAAAGTTCGGACGCTAAGGCTCACTAGGAACATGTTTGTGGGTGTACTCTGACGGGCTCACCTGGGCTTCAGAGCCTCTACCCTAGAGCCTGAGGTTGGGGAGGTAGGATACTGGCCCTGGGAAGTCCAAGAAGTGCCTCAGGGGGCTGTCAGGGTGGAAGAGTATCAGGGTGGAGAGTGGGTATGCTGAAGGCTAGGGCGCCACCTATCGGCCTCTGACGGGGAAGAGGGCTGAGGCGCACATTCGGACCCCGGCAGCATCTATTTTATTGCCGATCATTTAAAACGCCTAGCAAATTCATGGCACCTGTGGGTGTTATTGTCTAAAAGGACTGGGTTAAACCAAGTTAATCTGAAAGTGAGTCAAAGAAAATACTCAGCTACGTGGTGGGACAGTTAGTGCTCAGGCCTGGCAGTGGACTGTGATGGGGACCAGAAACCAGAGGGAGGCATCAAGGGGTTTGAAGGCCTCACCTTTGTCCAGGACTCACCCCTGGCTCCTGAGCAACTTGTCACCTCTCTTCTGGGAGTGCCTTTTACTTGGGGGTAGGCGGGCATAGCAACAGCACCTGCTGTGAGCTGGCAGCCAGTGCCTCCCATGTACAATGAAACCCGGTACACCAAGCAGTTTCGAGTCTAAGGATGCTGTCAACCCACCTCAGGGCATGTGCCAAGAGTTTGTGTAGAGGACTAGTGTGTGAGGCTCTAGGCAGCAAGGGGCACTGTCTGAGGAGCACTCCCACAGCCCCGATGCCCATGGTCTCTTGGTGGGGCACATGGAGGGACACCCTCAATGTTTGGGACTCTGGATAAACCCAGGAAAAGACGGCAAGCAGGAGTGGTGAGATTTGCACTTCAGCCTGGCCATCGACTCACTGCAGATCTGTGCTGGATCAGAGTGCTCGCCCATGGAAATGGGCTCTGAACCTCTGCAGAGAGGGCTTTGAAGGCCAGCTGCTGAATTGGCCTGCCCTCGCATGTGGAGCCCTCTGCCTGCCCACCAGCCGGGCCAGCCCAAACCCGACCCAGTCCCACTGACTCACATTCATATCGGAGGCTGCTGGGAAGCACCGGCTGGTGGGCCGCTGCTTGATGGTCGCCACCCTCGGTTCGATGGCTACGTTCTCTGCAGTCCTGGAGGGCTTGGAGGCTGGGACTATCTCTTCAGGTTTATCTAGAAAACAAAGTAAGGGGTGGAGCGGCTTAGTCTCATGGTACTTTGGGGGGTGGGCTGGCTCAGTTAGGAGAATGCAGGCACGCAGCCACTGGTCATGTGCCTGGAGTAGCGGGTAGGCTGTGGCATGGGGAACAAGCATGCATCTCTCCCCACTCCACATATCCTACCAAGGCACCACCACGTGTCCCAGACCTCGCCTGCCTGAGGTGTGTACACTGGACAAAGACAGCAGGGGACCTCAGCATCTCAGCCTTCCCCTTTAGAGAGCTCTATACCACCCAGGACCTGGGACTTGTCATCTTCAGGTCTGGCAAATGGGACTTGTTACTGATGGGGTCAATTTTGGAATTACTATTATTACTTTGAGCCAGGGTCTCATTGTGTAGCTCAGGCTGGACTTTTTAAAAAAGATTTATTTATTATGTATACAGTGTTCTGTCTGCATGTATGCCTGCAGGCCAGAAGAAGGTGTCAGATCTCACTACAGATGGTTATGAGCTACCATGTGGGTGCTGGGAATTGAACTCAGGTCCTCTGGAAGAACAGGCAGTGCTCTTAACCACTGAGCCATCTCTCCAGCCTGGCCTTGAACTTCTATTTCTCTTATGCAAGTCTTTTGAGGGTTGAGTTTACAGGCCTGTGCCACCAGGTACGTACGTACACACACACACACACACACACACACACACACACACACACACACACTCATAAACATTCATAAATGTGGTCCTTTTTGTAACTAAACACAATTTCCAAGACAAGCAACCTTCACCAAGGCTGGAATGTGGTCAGTAAGACTGTGGTCAGTAAGCCAGGCAAGATGGCAGAAACCCCAGACCTCTGAGCCCATGCTGCATAGGGAACTTTTCATTTATTCTCCCCATGCTAGAACATTCCCAGGTCTAGAAAACAAAAACCAAAGCTTTAGGCGTCCTGGAAAATGAAAGAAAAATTGTTTTCTAAAACTTGAAAACGAAAGCTCATCCTAGAATGACCCTGTTGCCTAGTTTAGTTGAAAGACAATTGAGGTCCTGAAACCAGGCACAAGGCTTTGTCTAGAGTTATCAGAACACAGGGACCCCATTCCCTGAAACCCACAGTCAGAGTCCCTCAGTCCCCAGAGGCACTTGGGGAAAAGGTTCTGCCTGTTCCAGGCTGTGTTTTTGCAGGATGCCCTGGGCCAGGATGAAGCTTATGGGGAGCCGTGCCTGTGGACACCTCCCACACTGGATCCTTTTTGAGGTACAGGAGATGTTAGCTTCTAGAACATTCATTGTACAAGCCTGAGTCCTTACAGGCAAGCTTTGCCCATTCTGGGGTCTGATGGCTCCCTGTTTAGTGAACACAGGGTGGTAGAACTACTAAGCTATCCACAATACTACTTGGCAATGGTGCTTTATCAGGAGAAGCTGACCCACTGGCTAAGTCCCCAGAGCTACAGTAGTGTTCAGCATTCAGCATGAAGCAATGTTTTCTGAGCAGGCAGGCCAGAGCCAAAATACCCTTGAGGAGGACTCAAGAGGAAGTGGGTGTGTTGGGGCTGGGGGCAACGGAAGTATCCACCAGGGACTCTCTGACATCCTAGGAAGACAGCTGATTCCAGACCAGTGTTGATTCTAGCAGTCCACAGATGATGGCTGTAGTCCAAATGCGGCCCATGCCAGGTCCTGCATAGCCTCGGAGTCTTTCACAGGTGTGAAGAGTTTTAAAAGGGACAAAGATTGTAGGCGTGACCTCAGGCCTTCAGACCCATGCAGTCTCAGGTGCTGTCTCTTCATGGACGACTCCGACGTCTGGACCTGCAGGCTCACCTGTCACAGGCCTCTTCCTGGGCTAGAATCCGGCCCTCAGGGATTGGTCAGGCAATTGCTTGGCTCCTGTCACCAGGGTCTGTGGAGATACTTGCAGCTCAAATCACCCATGTCCCCCAGCTCCTGAGTCATGAAGCCCTCATCTTAAACCAAAGCTTTACCCGCACTCTCCTGGGCCTGGCCATTTCCACTAGACTGTCTGTCACCCGTGGCCATATCTTTTTACCACCCATCCACACCTGCAGTGGACTGCTTCCCGCAGTGTGCTACAGGCCGTGTCCACCTGCCTCCTTCTCTGCTGTCTTCCTCCAGGGGTCCAGGCTGGCTTTTATGGCTGAGATAGAACTTGTTTCTATACCACCTGCCTCCTTCTCTGCTGTCTTCCTCCAGGGGTCCAGGCTGGCTTTTATGGCTGAGATAGAACTTGTTTCTATGTAGTCCCTACTGCCCACCTGCCAGCTGGGCGGATGCTTGTGTGGCCTGCTTTGGTGAGCCAGCCAGGACACACTGGCTTGATCTGTGCCCCCACACCATATTCCAGCTCTCTTGGTACTGGTCATTTGGCTCAGCTTTAGCTGAGGTGAACCTCACAGTCTGTTCTTTCAAGGAAGGAGTTGAGATCTCTCTAGCACAGGAGAGCTATGTCCCACCACTGCATTGGGCGCCAGGCAGGGGACACTGGAATCACTCTAGAAACTACTTTCCTCTCCTCTGTGGTGTCCACAGAGGCTGAGCCTGGGGACACAGCATCCTGAGCCTGGAATGTGGGTCAAGTGGAGGCCATTGAGTGACAAAAGGAGGGACTGGGTGTGTCACATGGAGAGCTCTGGAGACCTGCAAGAATCTAGCCACCTCTAGCTCGTGTGCAAACCTCGAAATGTGAAGGCCCCCTCCTGGCTGTGGGGGTAGCCCAACCTGCTCACCCTGTGAGTGCTGGGCTAGGACTATCTAGTAGAGGCGTAGATGAGATTCAGGAAGCTCCTGGTTTTCCTGCCCCATAGATTTGGCCTTTGTTGAATTTAATGGCTGCTAGGCAAGGGAAGATTGTGGGCCTCAAGATCCCTTGGAACGTCAGACGTAAGATGCACAGGGCCACAGTCCTGGTAAGAAGGCCCTGGGCACAGGCTCAGCATGGGGAGGGAGGTAGTTGGCCAGAGTCCGCGGTGTAAGGTCGGGGTACATGGAGAGCAAAGGACACAAGAGGAACACACTCATGCTGAAGAGCCACGGAGTCACTGAGAATCTTCTTGTCAGGGGCCGGCAGCGTGTATGTTCCCACTGGTGACACGTGGGGTCTATTGCCTGGCGTGTGAGTACCTGTGGCATCTCCACATGCCCAGCAGGAGTGGGCAGTAGGCTGTGATGTGAGAATTGCAGGGCCTTGGGTAAGTGTCTCCCATGACGGTCCGGACCCTGTGGGGCTTTGAAGCTTCATCCCGATTCCCATGGCTGTGGGAAAGGCACTGTCTTTCACAGAGACACAGTTGGAGGGTGCTCCTGTAGGGGTCACCAGAGTCACCCACCTCACTTAGCTGACTGCAGAACAGTGGGCATTCTTGTGGAGTCAGTAATGCGGCAGTGCTGGTGGGGCTATGTCTTGGGGAACACCCCCAGGAACCTTGAACGTTGGCCTGGCCTCTTGAGCTCTTCCATCTCCCTTAGGAACTGCTTTATGAATTTGTCAGGCCCAGGGCCCCTGATCTTCTAGCATCAGTGCTGTTGGTGGGAGTCAGGTGACAGACGGGTTTTTATCTTGTTCCTTAGATTTGCTGCAGACTTGACCTCACAGGCTCCATCTTTGAGATCTTATTGACAGGAAGTAAAAGTTTTTAAGGAAACTGTTGAGATTGCTGACTCCTGAGGATGAGGCTTAATTTCCAAAGGCCTAGAACTGGAGCTGTGTAGATGGCTGAGGAGGTCAGGCCCTTGCAGGGCCAACATGAGGTCTTGGTGACTGGATATACCTGTGCAGACACACATGAAAGCTGTCACGGTACACAAAACAGCCCAGCCCTGAGCTGAGTTCTCAGTCTCAAAGCAAGCTTATGGTCTCTCACAAGGCAGATGTGTTGCCCATGGGCTATAAATTGTAGACTTCCAGGAACCAGAGAGGGAGAGGTGGCAGGTTTGTCAGGGTCCCTGAGGTGGCTTGTAGTCACATTTCTCAGCAACACTTGCCCTGCCCATTACCACATCTCGCAGCCTGTGGGTTTGCCTGGGTCAGAGGCAGCCCCAGAAGTTGGAGGAGGGAACACTGGAGGGTATGTCCAGTGTCCTCAACCTGGGGCACCTGCTGCTTTCCATGTGACAGTCAACCAGATGTCATGGCTGCGTGGGAAGAAGTCCCAAAGTGCTGGGGGAGGGAAAACAACCCCAATGGCCAAGGCAAAGGAAGAGCTGGAAGCAGTCGAACACTGCTGCCCACTGCACAGTCCCCAGGGGAGCCCTCCGGGCAAGTCTGACCTCCCGGGAAGCAAACAGAAGCCCTGTTGAGGTCTTCTGTCCCCTGGTCAAATGCGTGGTGATGATGCAGCCAGGGCCCAGAGGTCAATCCCTGGTCAGAGCAGGGCCCCCGTCGTCTCTCATGTACTACCTAGGATCTTTGTGGGAGACCAAGATTAGGTGTTCCAGAAGCATCCATGAAAAGAGATCCATGGATGCTCATGGCATCAGAGATAGCTGGCGATCTGTCTGTTGCCAACCACCATGCTCTCTCTTTGGTGTCTCAGAGCCAGTGGCCTCTGCTCCCTCTGCAGGGTGAGATAGCAACACAGTGCAGGCTTCCTCAGCAACACTGCTATCAGAAGAAAAGCCAAAATGTCACATCATCACCCGAGCCACCAGCGGGCTGCCTCCTGTCTGCTCCCAGGCAGTGGAGTGTGGATATGTAGCTTGGGCCCCTTGGACCTGTAGACTCCAAGCCTCATGCCTGGGAAGGTCTGTATGCTTTGTCAGAGGTGACAAGCAAGGTTGGAGGTCATGGTCACACAACCTGTCCCACCACTCACTCTGCCTGGTGGCCTCCATCTCTACTCTCACCTCGGCTGCCCTGGGTTGTTGTGTCTGTGCTGGTTGGCCACAGCGACTTTTCTCACCATGGGGTACTAGGTCAAAGAGCTCAGGGAAAACCCAGGGTCTCTAAGCTGGTGTGGCCGGTGGGGTGGAGCCAAGGTTGAGATTGCCTCACTCTATTTGAGAAAGGTCTCATGTAGCTCAGGCTGGCCTGGAACTTGTGATCTTTCTGCCTCCCAGGTCCTTAGTGCTAGGCAGGCACCATCACACCCAGCTGAGGCTTCTAACTTCCCGCAACCTCCTGGGGACAGCTTAAAAGGACAAAAGTTTGTCCTCTCTCTGTTCTGGAGCTGGACATCTGTGGTTAGGGTTAGGAGGAGAAGAGCCTTGCTTCTGGGGGCCCCAGTAGTCTAACGCTCCATAGCTTGCCTTCTCTTTCCATAATTACACCAGCCGACGGTTTCTTTATGGCACTCCTAACCTGGTGTGACCTTGTCTGGGCTGCATCGGGAAAGACCTTATTTCTAAGTGTGATCTAGTTCATGGTTTCTGGGTAGACAAAGACTTGCAGTGGGTGGAGCCACTCTTTAGCTCAAGGCAGCTGGGGAGACGAGATTCTTCTTTCATTCTACATAGCCTCCCTGGAGTATACCCCATTCCAGGTAGGCAGTCCTCCCAGAGAGCCTGGACAGGCATCAAGAGGGGCTGGAGCCATTGCTGGGTACCTGCCCCACTCAGGCACCATGCCCATGCTGCTCCAAGCCTTTCATGGCAGGTCCTAGCCTACCAACTGAGCAGAAGTACCAAGTTGGCACGGGCTTCTGTGGGGTGAGGTGAGGAACGCAGGGCATCCTCAGTCCCTTTCCTCTGGCTGGGCTGTGACCAGTGGTCCCTTTGGCATCTACCTGCCCACCCCTACCTGCTTCAGCTTCAGGTTGGGGCATTTCTTTTCAACTGTTTTTTTTTCTTCCTGCTGTTCGCATGGAAGGCATTTCCCACTGTCTGAGACTCTCTATCTCTGAGTGGATTCACCTTGTGCTGGCCAAAACCTCTGTCCCCAGCTGTTGCAACACGTCCATTGGGTGGTGCCTTCAGACAGGCGCTTGCCGGCCCAGATTCCACCTTTTTGACAATGGGCTTCTCTTCACCAGCTCTGATGGGGCACCCTGGACCTTGGGAGCCCACAGTGGCACGCCTCTTCTGACAGGCCAGAGTTGGATTTGCCTTTTGCTGATGGTGGTGGTGCTCATATTATAATGTAACTATAGGACCCCTGGGAAGAAGGGCAGTCTTAGCCTGGACATGAGCCAGCCACACCCTTGACATGGGGAGAACCCCAGAGAGCCTGCTGGGATGTCCTGTACTGCCTGACACGGTGAAGGCATGGATTCTGCAAAGAAGGCTGTTGGCCTGAGGTGGCAATGCTGGCAGCTCCAGGGTACCTGTCCTGCCCTGAGGCCGATCCTGCGGGATTCAGGCACTCTTGACCCCCATTCAGCATCCAGGATGCTAGGTCCACACCAGGCCTCAGACTGAGGGCACCAACCATTAGGGACCACCCCCAACCTCATCAGAGACCCTCTCAGCCTTGGGGAACGATGTTTCAGCGTTGCACTGTTGGGTCACAGGTCACACTTGGCTCAGTGTTGGGGAGTCATGAGCAGTCAGGCGTATCCATCTGTAATAGGGTGCTTCTGAGGGGGGCAGGGCTCTGCCTAGTCACTCATAAGACTTGTCATGCCCGCTCCCCTCTTAGGGGAGCCTGGGGACAGGCAGCTCCCTCCTTCCCCAGGGTGGAGGGGAGCTGAGTGTTGGAAGAGGAACGAAGCCTGGTTTCCCTCTTGCCTGCTCCCCTGGCTGTTTAGTGGCTGGGCAGCACACGGGGATGTCTCTGACCAGCCCCCCAGAAGAGGATTCACGGCATCTGCAGCCAGGCAGGCACAGTAAGAGGCATCAAGGATCCTGGCCGCTTCGTCAGCATGTTGATGTGGACACAGATCAGGGGGACTTACAGATAGGTCGAGGGAGTCACAGACAGAAGCCAAGCAGACCAGACAGACCAGAACAGTGTACATCCCCGGGAGGGGAGGGGCCCTTGGGTATGACCCCCAAATATGGAAGACGACACAAGGCTCACAGCACACTCTGGACTTCACATGACTGTCACGAGGGGGTTTCTCTTCTACCGGGCAAGAGCATGGGGACAGACACTTCCCTTACCCTTCTTCTTCCGGACTGAGGCTTGCAAACAGAAAGGGAAGCGCATGAGCCAGCCACGGTGGCAGCGCCCTCCCATAGTGGCCCACACCCGGGGTCTCACTCAGTTCGGTGATTATGGGACATAGGTAGGGGAACTAGTGTGGAGACCACCAGGAGTGAGGGGCAGGGGTCCAGAGTGGCCCCCACAACTTGCCCTTGGTTGCTCTTTCTGCCTTGTCCTGCCTGGATCTCCTTTGTGGTGGCGAAGGGGCTTTCTTACTTTGTCCCCAGCAATCCACCAGCACTCCACGGGTGGGACTGAACTTCATGAGGTGGGACAGGAGGGCAAGTCTGCCTTTAGAAGGACATGGAGGCCCTGGGAGCTGGAGACCCTGGGAGCTAGAGGGAGCCCCTTTCCAGTGAGCTCCCAGAGAACATGGCAGCAGCCCTTTCTGTAGAGCAGGCTGGCCTTGGCTCATTGTAAGCGGGGCAGACATTCGGTCATGGGGACACAATTCGAATGTTCCCAGTGGGATGTTTGAAGGCATATGATAGGGTCAGGGGCACGGCTGGAAGGAGAGGATGGGTGGGCACTCCAGATTCTGGGTGGAGAAGCATTCCTGTGTCAGGGTTCCCTCTTCTAGAAGACTGGCAATTTGAGGTGAGCTTCAGATTCTAGCCCCAGGGAGGACAGTGATTGGCATGAACAAGGGGATGGGGGGCTGCTCTATGCTGGTGGGGACCCGTTGCTGGCTATTAGTGACATCCTGGCAGGACACCACCAGGAGCTACTAGTGTTGAACCTAAGAGGTTGTTTCTGTGCCAAGGGCCACCCTCACCAGCACTATCCCTGTTCCTCATGGGGCTAGGGCTTCCCCTCACTGTCTCTGTGGCTCAGAGCCATCCTCTCTGCAGAAGTCCCCTGGCTACCTGGTGGCACCTGGGTGACACTTAGGATGTGGTTCTTAGTCCACGTCAGAGTCATTCCTTTTCTTAGTGGTCCCAATGGCTGATAGTTCCCCTGCCCCATCTGCCTCCAAGGGGACAAACGGCCAAGTCTGTTTAATGAGGACCTTTTAGAGTTCTGGGTGTGCTGGGACTCTCTGAGGAGTCCCCGAGGGCAGGCCTTCAGTGGCTGGAGCAAGCTGGAGGACAGGCTGAGGTGAGGTCAGTGAGGGTGCCCAAGGCAGCAGGGATGCTGCTGCAGGGCCAGCGAGGCTGCTTACCTTTGTCCACTAGTGAGAGGCCCAAAAAGTCAAAACAAAACAATGTTAGATAAGCAGAAGAGAATGTCAGCCCCACCCCTCTAGATCCCATGGAGTCCCTCACTAGAGACGCCAGGCCAAGTGTGAAGCTGTAGGGCATGCAGGAGAAGGGGCCGGGATAAGCAAGCCGGCAGGAGGCTGTGCATGGGCTGGGCGTCTCTGAGGGCAGCAGGGTGAGGTGGCCTTACCGAGTTCCTCCAGCTCCGCCGTCATGGACTTGGAACGCAGGGTAAGGGCCGTAGTTGGAGCCCTCTTTGGAGGTGGGGGAGCTTGACGGGTAGGCAAAAGCAGAGTCGGTGTGAGAACCACCACAAGGCCCCACCGCTCCTATACCCCACCCCGTCCTATACCCTACCCCATCCTATACCCCACCCCATCCTATACCCCACCCCGTCTATACCCCACCCCGTCTATACCCCACCCCGTCCTGTACCCCACCCCGTCCTATACCCCACCCTGTCCTATACCCCACCCATCCTATACCTCACCCCATATTATACCCCACTTAGTGCCCCTTACTTTTGGACACAGGAAGAATCTGGGAGGCAGTGACCCTCAAATCTGTGTTTGGGGGGCAGACTGACAGGTGGCTGTGGGGGATTGTCACGGTTGGGCTGCCATGATTAGCATCAGCCCTGGGTGCTCAGGATGGAGTAGGGTAGGTGCTCTGCAGTAGGGATGGGAACTACGGCTCTGGTCTGTCTGTGAGAATCGACTGTGACAGGGCACAGGCAGTGGGACATATGTGGCTTAGCCACTACCTGCGAGGCTGTCAATGGCAGGGACTCAGGCCTCGCTGGAGCGGGGGAAAGAGACCTGCTGGTGTCTAGGAAATGTCATTCCCAACCCTCGCACTACGGTCTCAGCTGTTTGCAACCCTCTCTTGCTCTTTAGTGTACTCTGGTGCAGCCACCTCTGCAGCCTCTCCTAGCTGTCCCTGGTACCTCTACACAGCTGTTTGGGGGACAGCTGGCTAGAAGGCAGGGGCAGCTGTCCTGTGCTTGGTTTCCTTTGCTGGCCCAGCTGTGGCCTCCCTCAGGAGAATGGTGACTCAGGCTCAATGTCATGCCTTGGTCACAAACTTAAGTGATACCCCATTGCCTTGGCTCTCAGCTGAAAAGAGGCTGTTCTCTTTCCCTGTGGCCTCTGCTCCCCCCTGCAGGGCGCCTTGAGGGATACACACCTTTCTTTCTGGCAGTATCATCAGGGTCTAGATTCCTGGTCACTGTGACGACCTTAAGGACGAGGTGATTTCCTCCCTGGCGGATCATGTTCACCACCTGCCGGTGGCCCACCTTGACGACATTTTCATTGTTAACCTGCAGGAAGAGAGGTGCGGCAGGTCAGCAACATGTAAGAGGAGGCGGGGCTGGTGAGGCACGTGCTGCCGCCACCCTGTAGGAGACTAGGGGGACTTTGGTCTTTGTGCATGAAAATTTGCTTTGAGGAGGTCAGCATGTGTGCTGCTGTGGCTGCAGAGGCCACCACACCACGAGGGCACCCTCTACCAGGACTGGTGGATTCTACTTAACACAATTCTCAGGAGCTGTCCAGATCTCCAGGGCTGGGTCCAGCAGCAGCGAGGCAGAAACCTGGCCCCCAATTGCTTCTCCTGTGTTTTGGCCCATTGTCTTTAGGCTCCACCCCCCCTCCCCCCACTGAGGTGGAAAAGCTTGACTTTACAAGGTATTAAAAGAGATGACGATTCTGCCCTGGCACTTCTGGGAAGAGGGAAGACTGCCCCAGTGCTCCTGGGGTAGTGGAGGCGCTCACTTGAACCCCAATGTTGCTTCTGTGAGCAGAACCCTGAGGGTCAGAAACTCTGGGTTTTCAGAACCAGGCCCTCTCCTTCTATCCCCAAGGAAGAAGCAGACACAGATTCAAGCGGAGGTGGGGCTTGGCATCAGCCCCTTAGTCAAGCTAAGTCCCACAGCAGACCCCCAGGCCTTGTCCCCAGAAGAAAGCCAGAGCTGCACAGATGGCAGGTGGGTCATTGTGAACATGCCTATCCCAACACTGTGCTTCCAGTCAAGATCACCAAGGGCCGAAACTTGCCCAGTAGTGATGGACACCATCTTAGCTACTGAAATGTAAGAACGCCGGCACTTTCACACACATCTCCAAGCCTCCACTCTTACACGGTGATCTGGGTGGGAGTGCAGGAGGCCCAGGGAGGGCCTCAGCTCTGTTACTTGTTTGGGAGCCATCCAGCCTCCCTGACCTCATCTGCGTGGACTTGTGACCACTGCCTTTGATTCTGTTGCTTTTGGAGTTCTAGAAGGGGACAGAATGGATCCTGCACAGTTCTGCTATCAAGGTGTCCATGGAACATCCACACAATCAATTCTGAATCCAGCCCTGGGCTGGGCTTTTGGGGTTCAGCTTTCTATCATAGCTAGGACTGACACCAAGCACTGACCCGTGCCCACCTTATGTAAAGGGAGTACGTTATGAACGGGATCTCTGCCAGCCCTCCTGAGCTGGGGGAGACACACTGAGCTGGCCCTGTTGACCATCTTCCCGCAAAGTCTATTGAACACAGGGGTGTGCCTGTCAGACAGACATGGACGTGAGGGCTGACATGGGTAGCTGAGAGACCTTCACTTGCCTTGGACCAAACTTGGAAAAAGTCAGTAGAAGGGGCCCCAAGTGTCACAAAGCAGCTAGAGCCTGAAGCATGCAGTCCTGGTGACACACACTTGTCATTAGACAAATTATGTCAAGGTGCAGAAGCTAAATACCAACTCTCCCAAAGAAGCTGAGCTGGGCCGAGGCTACAGGAGTGGAGATTATGGCTTCACCAGGTGTTCAGGGGTTTCTTATGGCTACAGGGGCTCAGCAAACTTTCCAGTCCCAGCAGTAACAACTGTCATGGCATAGACCACACCCCCAAACCCAAGTGGTTAGATCTCACCTCCGAGGTGACTGGGGCCTTTTCGACTTGTAATTGTGCTTGTCTTACTGCTGTGACAGAGCACTTGCCACAAGCAACTTAGGAAGGAAGGAAGGGAGGGAGGGAGGGAGGGAGGGAGGA